ACTTTTTTCAAATAGATTTTTGCTTCTTGACTTTAATAACAAAGAAGTTTTTTTTTAGCTAATCTAAAAAATGATTAACTTCTAGAAGAAATTGTAAATTAGTGGTGTCTTCTCAAAATAATTACAAATTAGAGGAATACTTCATCAATTTTAATAATTAAAGTCATAATTTTTTTCATGAATTTGTAATTATTTTGAGAAGACCCCACTGAATTGTAATTTTTTTTTCTAATTTCTATTAGTTGTATTAAACATTCAACTAATTCGATGCAAACAAACAGAAATTTCAATTTTCTTAAATCAATTTAAGAAAACAAGAATTTTTTAAATGACCAATAAAGCAAGGTTTGCATAATTTCAGTAGTGGGATAAGATTTGGTGTCAAAAATAGGGAGAATTACACAACAGTGAGAAATGTAAAAAATATTTACAAAAAAAGTAGAAAAGTTTATAATTTTAATTAATGTTTATCACTTTTTGTTAAGCATTTTTTGTATTCCCCCTAATATGTAACTCCCTCTTAAAAATAACGTTGAGTTTCTTTCAAAATTTAAATAGAATTTGAGAGAACTTGAGAGGTTCGATAAGGCTCACCATGGGTTTCATTTTGAAAATCAAAACTATTCATTTTATAGGGCTCTCTATGTATATAATTCATGAAAAAAATGAATCGATTCGATAATCGTGCCTTTCATTTTATTATGTTTGTCTTAAAAAAAATGAATAGTCTATTTTAAAAAATATTTATGAGTTCATTTTTTTGGAAATAAAGTGACAAAATGTTATAATCATTAGATTGACCTAATTTATTTATTAATGATATATATTAAATATTTTACAAAATGAATGATTTAAATTATCAAAACAAAACTCATATTGCATTCTACATAGATCTCAAATTTAAATTTGAACTCTAAAAATTGCAATCTTAAAAACATTACAAAGACGGTGCATCACATCATGTATCTATCAATTAAAAGAAACAAAAGTATGATTAATGACAAGTAAAATAGACCCCCAAAAATGAGTATTCCTTTTACCTTTTGTGATTAAACAACTAATGGACACCCAAAAATGAATCAATAGCATGCATAGTAAAACAACAAAGGCATCTCATTTTCATTTTGCCAAGTAGTGCCCACATCAAAGCATTAACTGTAGTTAGAAATGCACCTCTCTCTTCCAAACACCATATGTCACCGGTGGAAGAAAAGTGATATTAGGATGTGTTATTTACACATACTCCTCTAAATTATTAGAGGTAAGGTTCTGTTTGTTTTCAGAGATAGAATGAAGGAGATTGATAATGAAGGGATTAATAGTGAGAATATTATATAAGTAACCCTATTAGGATAGAAAATTAGACATTCAATTATTTATATATATATATATATGTATAAGTTTTTTTTATTTAATTTCGGAGATTTTTTTGTATGTTTTATTTAATTATATGTATTATAGTTGTAGTAATATAATATTGATCTTTCTTATATAATTTAATACAATAATACTATAAGAACTACATTTGTGTATCAAAAAAATTTTTTTTTTATCATATTAAGTTTCATCATTGTAGTGGTGACAGAATGATAAATCATTTTTCATACACAAATATAATAATTATAAGATTATTGAATTTATTGTCCAATTTATTAACATAAAGTTTTATAATTATTACAAATTTTCTTATGCTACTTAACAAAAAAAAAACAATAAAAAAATATGATTAGTTAACACATAAATTAAAGTGCCATGCAATTGAGATATATACATAATTAATGATGATTCATAGTATTATCTCATTGGACCCCAAACTGCGTCACAAACCAAACTATTATATCTCTTATTAAATACTTGTACCAACCCCACTATATGTTATAATGAAGGGAGTGGATTGTCACTAGTTGGCTTGGTAAATTAGATTGTCCAGTTTTCTTTAATGTAAGTTTATTTTGGACCTATGTTAAAAGATTTGAATTTTTTATTTTGTAAAGTTCGCTGAAAAGATCTTTCATATTAAAAAATAAATTTATCAAATATCGGTAATTATATGATTGTATTACATTTATTTGAAAATCAATTACCGAATAAAATGATTTTGAAAGTAATCAATTTATTTTGTTTTAGACAAACATGATCTAATCAAATAGCTACCGAAAATAAATCAACTAATATTTTTGATATTGTGTGAGCCGAGTATAACAATTACACATTCAGCAAACAAAGCGCTCCTAAGCCCATCAGCGATGGGCCCAAGTCTAACCATGCCCATTGCCAACTAAGCTCATTGAATTACAGAGGTTCAACACCGAATAACCTCTTCACCAATTAGGCGCCACGCTGAGTGAGTAGTGCCAACAAGATCAAAGAACATTCATGCCGAGCTCTAGAAGAAATTCAACAAACTATCGCAATCAAAGTGGGCCCAAATTGTCTCTTTTCGAAGGTGTAATAGGGACATGGGCCTTGACACTGTGATGATTATGATGGGAAGATCAAATCACGTGAAAAAATATCTATGCAAAACCTCTATATAAAGAAGGTAACTAAAAAAAATGTATTGCCACCCAAAATTTTTACATTTCTTGATTCATCAAACCTATTCTCACTCTTAACCAATCTCTAACTTGATCGTCAGAATGTTAATTCTGACACCTCCGATCAAAGTGTTTCTTATTTCAGACACCGAAACAAGAATCCATTAAAAATCTATTTGATACAAAAGAATATTATAAAACCACCCCTCACATATATAAATAATTCGTTCAGTTATTCAAATTGTCAAAATTAACCCATCGTGACTTAAACTAGACTGTCAACTAAAGATAATTGAGACAATATAATCAAATGATAAAATAATCACCCCCACCAAATTTTCCAAGTCACCAAAGACACGCGACTAATGTATAATTGTGTATATATTCACCCTTTTTTAAAATAAAAATATAGTAGAATAAAATAAAAAAAAAATAAAAAAGGCATTTTGTGGGACTTTAAGGGCTGTGTGGGTATTTCAATCGAAGAGCAAGAGCAACTTCGCCAAAAGAGGTAGTGTGGTACGTCCTTTACTTGGTGGAACAGTCTACGACAAGTTAAGTCCCCTTTTTTTTTTTTTCTTCCTCTTTTTTTTTCTTGATTTTTTGTATCTTTTCATTTTCTTTTTTTTTTGCATTTTATTTTGTTTTTTAACTATTATACACCTCATTCAATCTTTAGTCGTGAGATTGAAAATTATGTGTCATGATTTTAATTATCTTATCTTTTCCGTATCTCGCATACTCGTTATCCCTTTATGCTGTGTTCAGTTGGGAGATTTGAAAAAAAATTTAGAAAAGAAAATCAAAAAGGTGTGTGAAATTAGGTTAAATGAAAGTATATTTTATTTATATTTCACCTAATTTTTTCCCTTCTATTTTCAAATCCCTTCACAAAAACTCCAACCAAACATAACATTAGTAGATTTGTAATATTCAAAGTGAGAACAAATGTGCCAATATAGAAAGTGGGGGTAATTTGATTATTTAACTATTTTCATTAATGATATCAAAGGCGTGTGACATTTTTATAGTTGAAAAAGTTAATTGTATGTTTTTATAGTTGAAGGGGGTAAAATTATATTCAACAATGTTAGAGGGCCACAATATTTGGGACCACAATGGCTCAAAACTGCCAAAACGATGTCGTTTTGGCATGTTTTGCACCCAAAACGACGTCGTTTTGGCAGTTTTGAGCCATTGTGGCCACAAAAATTGTGACCCTCAAACATTTTCCAATTATATTTTATGATAGTTTAAGAGAATAATGTAATTTTCAAGATAATTTAGAGAAGTAAAATGATATAAGGAATGTGGGACATTTTAATAATTAAATATGTTATGTTAACGTAGTTAAAGAGTTTTACAATAGCAATAGTTTAAAGAATTAGTTTGTATAATTTTTTTTAATTCAGAGAGTTAAAATGATACTTGACATAGTTTAAGAATCTCTGTCTAAATTTCCCTTTTATTTTTGCATACCACAAATTGTGTTAAGTCGTAGTATTTTTATTACATAATATTTTGAATAAAAAGCAGTTGTCCGACAACGAGTGAATTTTATTAATTCAGAAGTTGATATTTTTAGAAAATATTTGAGACTCCTAAAAGGTTATAAGTTTTAACTTTTGATTTGTTACAACTTATACACCCATTGATATAAAAATTAACTCTTTTATTATATCATTACAAGTGAATTTATGAAAATGAATCTGATGCCTAAATTAGATGAAAAAAAAAAAAAAAACTCAAAAATTAATTTTTAAAGAAAAAAAATGTAAATCGCAAACCGCCTGCAACCGCCCTCACATCTGTAAACCCTACCCGCACAAACCGCAAACCGCACTGTGGGCGGATACGGATTGACTTTTTTCCAAACTGCATAAATGCGGGCGGGTCAAAACTGAACCGCAAATCGCATTAAACCGATCCGCAAACACCCCTACCAAATAGTACGTAAACCAAATTGTGCATATCCTAATTTACATATAAAATAATAAATAAATAAATAAATAACAAGTTCATTAGATATTTTGAAAATTAATTATAAATTTATTAATAAATTTATAATAATTTTGTGAAACCACACTGATAATTTCCCCCAAATTCCCCTCTCTCTCTCTCTCTCTCTCTCTCTCTCACTCACTCTCTCTTAAATCTCATGTGACTGAAGCAGGTGTTACTGGTCATGCACCATGCATGTGAGTCTAATGAACTTTTGGACTTTCTTGGTAACAGTATTTACTACCTTATTAGGTATCCTTTTACACAAAAAGTGAGGGAACAAATTGATTTTAATAACCAAAAAAAGCTCACCACATCCCAAAAACCTAATCATTCATCCCCACATTACCCACCCACCCCAGATTTCTCATCTTTCACTCTTTTTCTCACTTTCATACACATACACATACACATACACATACAATATAGTATATTTGTACGTATATAAGTACAATTTATGCAAACAAAAATTAAATAAAAAGACCCAAATCCAAATCCAAATCCAAATCCAAATCCTTACGAGGGTCTAATAAATTCTCTCTCTCTAGAAATTCCAATGCTGCATGATTTCATCACACCCACCGCCATTTCTTCAGCTCAAAGGCTCTAATCCATTGATAACAATCACTCTGTCCCCATTGTACTCATTACAGTGTGGAGAGAGAAACTAGAGAGAGAGAGAGAGAGAGAGAGAGGGATTGTGGTGTATAAAATCATGGAGGTGGGTAGAAGGTGCACAGCAAGAAATGGTGGTGTAGTGTCAGGGTCTGTTTGGGAGAGCAGAATGAAGAGTGATGAAGTCAAAGGAGGTATCAAAGTCTTCAATGGCGAAGAAACAACCTCTGAAGAAAATAATGTTGACAAAAAGCCTAGACCCAAACAGAGCCTTGTTGGGGTTAGTGGGAAGAGGAAGACATGGAAATCTGAGAATCTTGAAGGAGCTGAGAAAAACCCAATTCAGATTGTGAGGCAAAGATCTGAACAAACCAAGAATTTGGGTGAACAATGTAAGGAATTGAGTGTATCTGCTGATGGAATCAAGAAAAGCCCAGTAGTTCAGCAGAAGAAGACGAGATCTGAGGTGGGTAAGGAGCTTAGAATGTCTGTTGATGGAATTGAGAGAAGCCCAATTCAGAAAATGAAGACGAGATCTGAAGATTCTAAGGAGCTCAATGTGATTGTTGATAAGACTGAGAGAAACCCAATTCAGATTCGCAAGGCAAAGTCTGAATCCCAAAAGTTGGTTGGTCAATCTCCTCGTGAATCTGGTGGTGATGGTGATGGTGATGGAATTGAGAAGAATTCAATTCAGTTGAGGAAAGTGAAGTCAGAGTCCAATAAGGTTTTGGATGAATCTGTTGATGTCAATGAGAGGAATCCAGGTCCATTGACCAAATCAAAATCTGTGTCCAACAAAGTCTTGGAAGAGAGGAATTCAACTGAATTGAAGGAGGCGATATCGGAGTCGAAGGAGGCAGTTGATGAGCCTAATGAGGTTCCAGATGAGACGGTTGAGGCAATTGAGAAGAACCCAGTTGAAATTGAGAAGATTGGATCTGATGAAAATTGTAAAGAGGTTGATGTGTGTGAAGAAAAGGTCATTTCTAGTGATTTGAGCAATATGGATCAGGTCAAATCCGCTCCACAATTGGAGGTGGCTGATGATGGTGATGTTGATGTTGATGGTGATGGTGATGAAGAAGATTGGGATGAGGAATTTGATGAAGAGGTGGATGAGGAAATTGAGATGGAGATAGAGAAAAAGAGCTTCGATGTTAAGGAAATTGACATAACAGAACAAAAGCCTAAACTGGTTGTTGTGAAAGAAGAGAAAAAGATACATCCAGTCCAAGAAAGAAAACTACCCATCTCACCAATTGTGAAAAAACAGGCTCCTCCACTAGTGAACCATTCAAGAATTCATCCAATTCCCACAAAACACAAAGCAAGTAAGTCTGTTTCATTAGTAATATCTCACTGATTTCTAACTTTTATTTATTTATTTATTATGTTTGTTGTGTTGATCTTTGATGTTTTTTAATTTTGGTTTCTTTGTAGGTCCTGTGTCAAATGGATTCCAAAAGGCTCCTGAAACCCATACTGAATACCAGAGTATTCCTGATACCCATAGCAAATTGCAGAGTTTAGGTGAGTTTTAATTAATGGGTGGAGTATTTTTTTTTTTTTAAATTATTATTATTATTTTTTTACTGTTTTGCTGCTTTAACAATTACAGTTATTCATGTTTAAGCATCCATTTTATGGTGTTTTTAAACCTTTCTCAGTTGATTTGGTGATGTGGAGAGATGCTTCGAAATCGGCATTTGTGTTCGGATTGGGAACATTCATCATAATCTCATCCTCTTACACTAAAGATCTCAATATTAGGTCAGCAACAATAGTCCAAGAACACATCTGTTTGGTTGTCATTTTATTTTCTTCATTTTCGTTTTCCGTGATTTCATATGATTTCTATTTTTGTGTGAAAACAGTTGGAAATAACCTTTTGCTGTTTGTTTCCTAATACATGGGTTAATTCCAAAACAAGTTAACAAAAACACAACAACCAAACAGTATTGTACTCATCCCGTTTCAAAACAGAGCACATATTAAAAATCTCACTTAAATTTTTTTTTACAGCTTGATTTCTGTGGTTTCCTATCTGGGTCTTGTGTATCTTGCTGCAATCTTCTTTTTCAGATCCATTATTTGCAGGTATTTTCTTGATCTCATTTTATTCTTTTTCTTAAATGGGAAAGCTCATTTTGCAGAATAGGTGGCAATTAAAGACATATTTTGATAGTATTTCTTTTCCCTCCCTATATTTCTGAAACAGGGGAGTTATAGGTGAAGATACAAGCCAAGACTATGTTGTTGGGGAAGAAGAAGCAATCTGGTTACTGGAATTGGTTCTTCCTTATTTGAATGAGTTTCTTCTAAAACTTAGAGCCCTTTTTTCTGGAGATCCAGTGACCACCATGAAGGTGAATTTCCTCCTCTCTCTCTCTCTCTCTCTCTCTCTCATTTTCTATTTGAAAAATGCTTGGTAGCTCAAATTTGTGTGGTCCGAATGGCTCGAATGTGTCAAAACAACGTTGTTTTACACTCAAAACGACATTATTTTGAGTGTTTTGAGCCATTCGAGTCATGAATTTTCGGGCACCCAACATTGTTTCTATTTTTACTTTTTTACTTTGACTTTTTAACCTTATTGTGGAAATTATTAAACATTGACAAAATGTGATCATGTCAGTTGGCAGTGCTGCTGTTTGTTTTAGCAAGGTGTGGGAATTCCATAACTATATGGAAGATGGCCAAATTGGGTGAGTTTGATTTGATTTATACATACAAGGTTTATATATAAATTGTCAGTTAATTAATTTCTCTTTCATATCTTTAATATATATAAGCATACTAGACTTTGGCACACATAATGTGTGAGTAAATAATAATGTGTGGAAAACTGGCCCGAAAAATGTGAAAGTTTTAGAAATTATTTATTTGTTTACATTATTTGCCATTCAAAAATATGAAAGAATGCATGTAGACTGTGAAAAATGATTTTTCAGGAACAATTTTAGAATAACAACAGTGCTACCAGCTTCATTTTTGGGTTCACACCAGCTAGAGTGTTCTTTATAATATGATATATGGATACATTGGATAAATTAGTTTTCACATTATTTCACATAAAACCCTATTTTGAGTTGGTCCATAAAGGAAAAGTTTATTTTGGTAAGAAAAGTTTATTTTTTTTAAGTACAGGGGAGACCTTAGTTTAGCATTGAGGAAGTATTTAATACTAGTTTGGGATCCCTAATGGGGCTAAAATAGTCATATAAGGCAAAATAAGTTACTTTAATCAAATAAAACAAAATGTCACATTTAATCCATAATCATTTCATTTTTTTTTTCCACAAAAGTCAAAATAGCCAACAAACCTATCCCAAACGGAATTTTTTAGTCCCAAGTTAAAATAGTCAAAAAATTAACTCACATCCCAAATGAGCTTATCAAACTTAAACCTTTTCTAGTAAACTATAATAATTTTAACAAATTGAACTAAGTTTGATAAACCTTTTCTAGTAAACTATAATAATTTTAACAAATTGAACTAGTCTAATAAATTGCTGATTTGGGAAACACTATGCACCTCATAATTAAAAAAAAAAATATAGCATAATTTTAATTTTTGTCATAACTAAATTTTTTTTTCATAACTAATATGAAACATAACTAAAAAACTCATAAATCATAACTTCGTTTGGCAATAGGTTTTTTGGCTAAATTAGTCACAAAAAAATAAAATAGGTTAAAAAGTTAATAAAACAAAATATCACATCTAAACCATAATCATTTCATTTTTTCTCTCACAAAAGTCAATCACAACGAACTTTTTAGCCGGAGCTAAAATACCAAAAAGCTAACTAAAAAAGCCAATTAGCAAACGACAACTAAAATAATGTCGTAAACAAATAAGAAAATTAGTCATAATTAAAAAAAATGACATAATTAAGCATGCATATGGTATACTTTTTTTAAAGGGGTATATATTAAAATTTTCTTACTTATTTAGGATTCGTTTGGGAAGAACTTTTTTAGCTTAGTTTTTTAGTTTTTTGCCTAATTTAGCTTGGCTAAATTTGGTTGACTTTTTTATTTTTTTTTTTTGAGAAAAAAAAAATTATAATTTAAATATGATATTTTATTTTATTGACTTATTTTTATTTTACATTTTATTATTTTTTTAGTCTCAGTTTAAACCCAGCACGGGATTGTTGAAATTTTGAGTCCGGGTCCCATGTCATTTTAAATTTGTCATGTCTATAAAAAAAAAAAAAATAATAAAAAATAAAAACGTTTAAGCATTTGTTCTTTTGAGGTGGAACTATTGCCAGAGCAATTATAATTACTGCCAGAGCAATGTACAACTATCAAAAAGCTTTTGGAGGTTCTACTTGTTCTGGAAACAGCCATATTACCCGGGTTATTGGCTCAGGCTTTCTTGTGAGATAGTCACTTCAATTTTCTCGGGAACCAAACATTGTTTCTGAACGTTCTTTTCTTTCCTCAACTGCTCTCACTGCAGGCTTTTTTGGAGTATTCACCGTTCCAAAAATCTGCTCTTCGTATTCCACTCAGTTAACTGCTTGCGGTAAAATTCTGAATCCCATGCATTTCATTTTCGAATATTTATAATTTTTATTTATTTACTGAAAAAAATAAGGAAAATTACAACAACAAAAAAAAAAGAGAACAAATTAGATTTGAACATTGTAAATATTGTTTCCCATGTTCTCCAAAAAAAAAAAAAAAAAAAAAAAAAAAAAAAAATTGAACATTGTAATAAAATTGATCCTAAATTTTTAATTTTATCAATTTAAATCATAAGTATTTTTTTTTTCAATTTAAGCTATCTATTTATTTTTGTTGAGTAAAATCAATAAAATTTTTAATATTTTAATCATTGAATTCAATGAAAAAGAGTATTTGAAACATTTTATGTACATCTACATTAGTTTGATGTCTAAAATATTTTTTTTTTTTTGCTAGTTTTACTTAATAAAAATTAACGAATAATTTATATCGAAATCAATTTAAAAGTTTAGAATTTAAATTGATGAAATTAAAATTTTATTTTGTTATAAGGGAAAATTCTAAGGTTTTTTTTTTTCTGAAAAAAGAAATGATAGTATACCGTTAGTGTGGAGGGACCACAATACACGTGGTTTTACCAAGGGTATTAGATGCTCTACAGTCGCAGTGTGTGGTGGGTCCATTTTCATACCTAACTATAATTGGTTGGACATTTGATGAATCAACGTAACGGCTCTTTTTTTATTATCTGATGGCATGTGCAATGGGGTAGATTTAATGGGTCCCACAGAAATAGATAAACATATATGCATTGGATTATTTTCCCTTGCGTTTAGACCTTAGGTCCATATCTATCACCATCTGAAATTATTATCACCATCTATCTTTAGCCAATTTGGTGTCTTGATCTTAAAATAGAATACAAAATGAATGCATAACATGAATGGAACAATTTTTTTTTTGGCAAATTACCAACACTCTCGTTGAGATTTGACTAAAATACAGATTCTCTCTTAAGGTTTGAAAAATTACAAATTGTTCTATGAGGTTTATATTTACATAACAAATTATGTAAATATAAACCTCAGGGGGCAGGATATAATTTCTCAAACCTCAAGAAAATTTATATTTTAATCAAATCTCGAGGGAGTGTTGGTAATTTGCCCTCTTTTTTTGGGGGAGGGTGGTTAGGTAATGCTATTTATATTTTCAAGAATTTTTAAATACTTTTATATAATTTATTTGCATGTACATTGAGATTAAGGCCTCATTTGACATATATAATAGTTTTAGCTTAAAAGTCAAAAAATTATTAAAAAAATTAAAAAGTCTATAGCTTATATCAAAAAGTCAAAGATTTCATTTTTTCTCTACTTTTTACATATCTTTTCATAAAAAATCAAAAATTCATTTCGAACATACTAATTTTTTTCATCTCATATTTTAGTTAAAAAGTTACTAAAATAGCATGTTCCTAAACGAGATCTAAGGGTGGGCATTAGCATTTTTTTCCCCCTTTCTAATGGTTCAATCGTTATGATTTCATTTATTTTGATAGAAAATATATATACATATATATTTATATTTTTGGCATTGTGTTACAATTAAAAACAGAAATTAATGGAAAACTTATGAGCTCCTTTTGGCAGATTTTTTTTCCCCCTACTTTCCGAACCTAGTGAGATAATCCAAAATCTGAGCACCATCCCCACCGGTGCCCCGATCAACCCACCACCATTCATAGCACCACTGTCTCAACTATTAAAAACATTATTTTCAAAGTTAAAATTAAACATAGAAAAACAATTTATATTGAAAACATTTTTAAAATATATATTTTTGTAAGAATTTGGATTCTAGATACGACTCCATGATCTAGGCCTCTCTAACTTGCACGATACAACAGGAAGGGATTGTGTACTGTTGAGAGAGACCTAAGATTTGTTGAGGATGGAGATTTTCGAACAAAAGATTTTTTGTTTCCCTTCTCTAAGTAGAATTGTCTTAATATAAATTCTGTTATTGGATTCCATGCTAGGGCTAATCATTCTATGGTTAATTTTCAAAAACTTTAGTTTGTTTTGTACCAAAATAAGATAGAATTCTAAAACTTGAACAAGTCCAAAGTAGTGTGGTTGTTGATGGGGCTCATGTCCATGTGAAGTTTCATATCTTTCTATCTAGTAACATCCCATCACTTTGTACTACCTTACTTTAATGCACATAATAGTCATTGGCTTTTATTACAAGTTTGGTGGGATGTCCCAATCAAGTTAGGTAATTTGATGTAGTGATAATAGTAAAAGTAAGGCATATCTCAGTTGTAGTTAATTGACAATGATTAGCAACTTAACAATTGATTTCTTTCTTGACAAGAATTCTATAAAAACTATATATATATATATAAATTGAAAATGATTATATATTTTTTACTGTAAGAAGTTTCATAAACAATGTATAATCATTTTTGGTTTATTAACAAATATCTCTTTTAATAAAATTCTTATATATGATTTTTTTTTTCTCCCTTTTTTCTCTAAATCATTTAAGAGTTGTGAAACATGAATTTTCAAAAAATTGTCAATAGGGACTAAATTGACACACTGTGAAAAATACAAAGACTAAATTGACATATTATTTGACTTTTCGTTAAATTAACTTAACAACTATTGTTTATTAGATTAAAATGTCACAATCCGTTAAATTAAGAGACAAAATCGAACAAATTAAAACTATAGGGACCAAATTCACACATCGTGTAAATTACATGGGCTATTTGCATAATTTTTTCAAAATTTATCATTATTTATTCTAACGACTGCCATATGATCTGTCATTAAAATTAGAATCTCAATGTACTTTTGATATATTCTCAAATATTTTAATATAATTTTTACACAACTAAAAATTATCAACACAACATTATTATTTTCAGAATATTTGAGTACAAAAATTCAAGAACATTTTAATTTTTTGATCAAAATATGTGTTGATATATAAGTTGGGGAATGAATGCATGAAGGTACATTTTGGATTCGACGATTCCGAGATGCTTGGGAGTCATGTTCTCACAAGAAAGTTGTGGCTTTTGGCATTTTCACACTCGGATGGAATCTCTCCTCAGTCGTAGCTCGCATTTGGGCAGGTAAGCAAGCAAAAATCCCTCCTTTCTTGTTTCTTCCATATATATCTAGCTGCATAAGTGGACTTAAGGCTTAGTTTGGTTTGGTTTGGTTATATCTAACTGCATAATTACATACAATATAGTATATTATTATTAATTTAATAATACTCACGCTTCAAACTCTTAATTTTGTTTTAGTTTTTTATTACGATGTCAACTTTGTGAATTTTTATTTCATGATATCTTCTTTTAATTTGGTTTATCTCCGTAATAAAGTATAATGCATGCTGATTGTCATATGTCAATATGTTCTGCTCGCAAAATCAACGTGTTTGGTTTTAGTTTTTTGAATTCAGTTTTTTAAAAATTGAGTTTTTTATTTTTTGTATTTTTTTGTTTTTAGTAAATATTTTTAAAATTTTAAGCAATTTTTATTTTTTATTTTTTTAGATGTACCTTACTTAGATGTATCTAAATAGTAAAATATTTGTGAAAAAATATTTTTAAAAATTAAAAAATACACAAAAATATGAAAAATGTACTGAATTTTTATTTTTTGGTATTTAGTGTATTTTTTAAATATTTTTTTCTTAAATATTATATTTTTAAGTGTGTTTATGTTAGGCGTGTCTAACAATTAAAACAAATTGCTTAAAATATTAAAAAAATCATTGAAAACATTAAAATACGGAAAATAAAAAATAGAATTTTTTGAAAACTGTTTTCAGAAAATCAGAACCAAACAAATAGTTCTACAAATAAAAAATAAAAAACAAAAATCCAAAAAATGAGGTCTAGAATGGCCGATTATACAATTTTGTTAAATTATTGTATATTTTTCATTTATCTTTGAAAATATATAATTATTTTAAACTTGTTAACACGCGTAATTCATTAACAAAATCCCAAAATTAAACTCATCCTTTACAGGTACATTTGTTCGAGACTGGCTTTTAAGCCAATTTTTTGTCCTCCTTTTTTCATTTATGAATTGTTTTCAATTTTTTCTCAATTCTTTTTCCCTTTTAGGTGTTTCTAGAAAAAAAAAAATTTAATTACTAAAGAAATTTTTAAAAAAAATTAATCTGGGGCCAAATAATTAAAATTTAAGATTGTTGTATACTTATTTACAAAAGATAGAGAAAACATAAATAAATAAATAAAAATTAAAAAAACTATAGTCTTGGATTGTTATACATTTATTAACAAATAAAATATATTGTAAAAAGAAACAAACAAATGGACTCTAGGTGTAAATTATAGGGGTACTTACGTGTAGGTCCTAATATATAGACTTATTGTCTAATAGGTCCTATGAAAAAAATTTGTCATAAAAAGTCACTAATTGTAAGTTTTAGCGACAATTTATAAAAATCATGACAAAAAAAAGTCACTAATTGTCAATTTTAACGGCATATATAAAAAGTTGTCACAAAAAAATTATTTTTAGCGACAATTTTATCAAGATTTATTTTCAATAAGACTTGATGGGAATTAAGTCTAATTATTGGGACCTATTAGTAGTTTGTCCTAAATTTTTATACTTATTTGGAGGGTTTTGCTAACCTGCATTATTGATCTACTACATCCCATGCAGTGTTCATGCTATTTGTGGCGTTTAGATATTATCATCAGTCAGTGATGAGAGAAGATGATTTGGTAGTGGAGGAGGAGGAATCAAAATGCGAGACATCGTGGCAAGGACAGATTGGAGGACACAGACGAAGGCGTGTGCCCATCACCACAGTGGATATAAAGAAAGACAAGAAAAGATTTTGATGAAAATGCACACAATAGGACTACATGGTACCCACTTATGATATATATACACCATAATAATAATAATAATAATAATAATAATAATAATAATAGCCTTTTTTTAATTCTTTTTCAATTCTTACTATTACCTTTTCTTTCTTGTACAAATTTTGTTTGGTGACACTTTGAATAAAAAGAGTTCTCAACTAACCAGTTCTGTAAACCTTGGTTTGGGCTTGCATGGCCAATAAATTTTCTATATGTACCATTTTGTGGAAATGGAAAAGAAAAACATATATATTTGGTTGTCTTATTGATATTGATATCTTGTCTTGTCTTGTGGTTATTTTTTAGAAATTCATAAGCATTGTCACAATAATGTGTCATGTTATTTTGATGTGTTGTGATCCACGGCATGATGGAGTTGGTTAAGTCAATTGAGTAAAGGATAGTCTCAATGTACAAGATTTTTGTTACTTTAAGATCTTAGAAGATTAAATTTACCGGAGGAGCGATTCTTTTCGTAATTTGAATTCATTTTATTTTAGTCGAATAGGTCTTAAAATATGAATTTTATGAAAAACTATTGTATAGAACAAAAATTATCAAAGTTTTGAAATAAAAAAATAATCGTTTTTAAGTGGGTGATGCGTGACCGTTGTTAGGTTAAGGAATATTTTGTGAGGCTTATGCCCTGTTTGTTTTGGCATGTTTAGCATTTTCTAGTGCATGGAATGATAGAACATAAAACATTTTTTGTAATCAACAAAAAAAACAAGTTTTATTCAAGCGAAAAAATGTTTTTTTCATTTTTAAAAGGTGAAAAAGAACTATCTTTATATCATAAGTCCAACAAGAACTATCTTTATGTCAATTTAAGTACAAAGTTAATAATTTTTATTTTTCATTTGACGTTATTGATATTTTATTTAATATATAAGTATATTTTACAAGCTTGGGATTAAAATATAATTTTAGGGCCAAGCTTGGGCCATAAATTTTAAGCTCGATATTGGGCTGGGCACAAGATTACTATGTTTTTTCTAGTATCGGTCTTGTTTAATTAATGCCCACACCTAACTATTACCACAACTAACATTATTATTACCGTCACCACTACTACCTCACAACTACCATCACTTTACTACAACCGTTGCTCCACCATCGTTTTTGCCACCCCATCTAAGGGGAACATGGGGAGGATGTTGTGAGTCCGTGGAAGTATTTTCAGAATATGTTTTTATAATATGAACAGTTTATATTATTGGGTTCATTGAGTAAATTATTCATAAAAAAATCAAGTCAATTAGACATCTATAACCCATAACAAAACTACATTTATGTTTAAAAAAAAAAAGTAAACTACTAATAAGTCCTAATAGTTGGACTTAATTCCCATCAAATCCTATTGAAAATAAGTCTTGGTAAAATTGTTGTTAAAAATAATTTTTTTGTGACAATTTTTTATATATGCCGCTAAAAATTGACAATTAGTGACTCTTTTTGTCATGATTTTTATAAATTGTCGCTAAAACTTACAATTAGTGACTTTTTTATGACAAATTTTTCCCATAGGACCTATTAGACAATAAGTCTACTTATTAGGACCTACATGTAAGTGTCCCTAAAAAAAATAAATAGTTAACATAATTTTGATAATTTTTTTGAAAAAACAATTAGTATTTGGTCGTGGGTGTATGAATGTCTGATTAACTTTATTTTTTGTATAAATAATATACTTGACAAATCTTATAATATCAATGGTTTGAATTATCAAAATAAAATTGAAACAAATCTCAATTAGGGCATTACAATTGGTGTTGTGACAGCGCCCTCCCTTTATCCATGGCTTTTGATCTCAAATAGAAGTCTTTTAATATTGCTAATTCATTTAATCTTTTGTGTGACATAATTAGTTTGTACAAAATTAACTTGTCAATTATATTCCGTAGGCAATGCGTTCATCCAGAAAAGATTCTTGTTTTTAATATTAATTTTGTATTTGAATTAGAATCTTCTTCTTCTTTTGTTTGTATAACTTCTTTTAAAATGTTATTTTTAAAGACAAATCTAAACCATGGATACTATTAAAAATGTCATTTTTTTTTTTTTGAGATGAAGATAGTTTTTTAACAACCATAATTTAATGATTTTACTTTTAAAATTATTTAGAAAACTAAAACTGTCTTCATACAATTGAAATTGTTAAAACATATCAATTTAAGAAAAAGCATAATATATATATAAGAATTTTTTTAAAAAATTATATAAAATTCAGTAAATTGTGTATCTCATTATTTGCATTTCCATCAAATTATTTCTTTTTACAAATTAAATGTGTGTGTGTGTGTGTATTTTTTAAATACAGGATTGATTTCCATTTTTTTTTTTCAATCTCTATCATTTATATATAATTTTTGAATTTAACTGTTCTAAAATAAGCATTCCTTCTTTATTTGAAATATTATATCACATGTTTTTTTTTAAAATTTTATTTATACAAATAAAACCCCAGCGTTTGACCCTGTATCAAAATAAACTATGAATTTTTAATTTTTTCAATGTAAATCATAATATTTTTATTTATTTTCAACTTAAATTATCTGTCTACTTTTGTTAAGTAAAACTGGTGACAAAAATAGTATTTTAGTAGGTATACAAAAAATATCTAATGGGGCGTTCGGTTGATAAATACAATTTTAGATTTTCTTTGTCCGAGGATCCAGACACTAAAATGCTTTATCCATAAAGACAAGCTCCTATAAAATGACGAAATTACCCCTCCATTTACTCCGCTATTCTCACACATTGATTTTATATAAGATCTATCTATCTACCTCTCTCTCTCTCTAAAGACAAGCTCCTATAAAATGATGAAATTACCCCTTCATTTACTCCACACATTGATTTTATATAAGATCTCTCTCTCTCTCTCTCTCTCTCGATAATGCCCCAAAATAATAACAATAATCCCACATCATAATATTCCATTTATACTTATTGATCATACAAAAGATGACATATGCGTGTATAAATTCATGAATCCTAGATCCTGAATCTATAGCATATGACATGTATACATAAATTTTAATAAAAGGAGAGTCAACTAATTTTATTCCCTAATGGCTACATCTTTTCTAATCATGCTTAGGTATAACAAAATGAGTTCAACTCAATATAGTTAAAACCTAAGGTTTGTACAAAATAATTACATCAAAAGAAAAACAAAAGAAACTTTTGGCTCCAAGTCCTCCCAAGCTATGTCCTTGGTGGAGGCAAATCATCAGCACCTGAAAGTTATTTACACATAGAGTGAGCTAAAATCCAGTAGAGATGCTTTAACATAATAAATTTTAACGAAGTCATAAGGTGAACACATATGCATATCATTTGTCAAACGTTTTACATTTCTATCTCAAACAATGCAATGTCAGTTATATATCAATTCATGAAAAATATCATTTTATATCAAAAAACAGGGCAACGGATACAAAACACTAGGAATCTTTAGGTACCTGTTTGCCACTTGGCTATACAACCAAAGCCATTTTATCGGCACTAACAGGAAAAATTGGCACCTAACCGTGTGGGTTCATGGACTTTCACGAAAGATACATAGGCCAACATAATAACCATAACCATACCTCCTAACCAAATTCACTAAGATATTCATCCATTTTTCTCAAAACCGTACATTTTCAATGCTTAAGTATGAAACAATGCTTAATGCAAGATGTATGAATAATTAATGTCAATTCACTTAATCCTCATGCAATTTCTATAACAATCAATGTTATCCTCTACCGATAGCCCTAGACAAATATTTCTATTTAACAGATAATTTCCAACAAAAGATATAATCTCATCATTTTCAAAATAGAAACAATATTATATATCCAGCTCTACCCTAATCATCAACAGATACATTCATTTCATCTTTTCAAAACTCAACATCTTTTTCCTTTTCTTTAATAAATCAAATATCAATGATTCTTTAAACAAAACCTCTTTTACTTTCAAAATCACATTTAAGTAAAGAAATTTTAACGTTTCAACATATCTCAATCATAAACACATCCCACAACCTTTCTTAAGCTCCAATTTGAAAACCCCTATTTTACATTTCAAAATCAAATCCTAGGTTTAATCCAAAATCACGAAATCACTAAATCTTTTCAATGAGCTAATAACTAGGCTAAAAATCATACCAAAGTTTGAAGAAATCCCTACCTCAAGAGTAGAAGAGGAAGAGAGCAAGGGTTGAAGTTTGGTAGAGCCGAAAATGATATTCTCTCCGATTAAAATAAAGCTTTCTGCGAGCTCTACCTTTTTCTCTAAGGAATTAGGATGGAGAAATCAATGGATTGGGAGTATTTGAGGTTTTAAGGCAAGAACTAGAGAGAGAAAGTGAAGAAATTAGGGTTTGGAATGTTTTAGAGAGAGAGAGAGAGAAAGTGAAAAAGTGATAAAATTTCCATTTTCTCCTGTTTGATATACGCATAAACCACTCGAGCGACCAAACCACTGTTTGAGTGACAGATACAATAAGTGACACCGTTCGAGCGACCAAGAACACCGCTTGAGCGCACAATGACCCATTCCTAGAAGTTTTGCAGATTGTAGAATCGAGCGAATAACATCCTACTCTCACAAGTTTTGTATACCTGGAAAAATACTGAGAGATCTCAAAAACCGCTCGAGTGACCATAACACCACTCAAGGAAACAAGCAGAAAATTGGACAACAACTCTTTTAAAAAGCTAACTCTCAATCTATTTCAAATACAACAATAACTCCCAAACAACCAAACTCAACTAGCAATAAGAGAAAGCGTTTATAAACAACAATTAAAGATATGGAATTCTGGATCTAAGAATATGAACTGGAACCGTTATAATCTCCCTCTTAAGAAATTTCGTCCCCGAAATTTAAATTAAAGCAATAACCATCATATTTTAATTCCATTGACCTTCCACAATAGTAGTAATGATAAAACAGAGTCTTTTAACACAAAATATTACCGTTCAACTTTTCAAAACATTTATAATGTTTATATTTTACAACATGAATAAAATTCTCAATACAAAGCTCAATTATCAACAAATAGGTCCGGATATTTCTCACGGACTTCCGCCTCACGCTCCCAAGTTGCCTCCTCAATCCTATGGTGTCGCCACAACACCTTAACTAATTGAACAATCTTGCCCCTCAAGACTTGATCCCAAGAATCTAACACTCGAACCGGTCTATCTTGATACAAGGTATCCTCATCTACCTCTAACTTGGTTCAATCCAGCACGTGTGAAGGATCAG